AGCAGTCCTTCACAAGCCCCCCCGCCAAGCCCCTCGCACACCCCCTTCCTCGGGGACGCTCCCTGCTTCTTCTCAAGGCAGGTCTGGGCTGGGCTGGGGGAAGGTGGTGCGAGCTCTCTCTGGTCTCAGTGAGAAAGGCCCAACAGCAAATGGCTTGATAAAATAGCTGTTTTAATAAGGCAGAGTAAAAAGAGAAATATCAAGAGCAAGTAAATCTTACGCCCCTTCAGACACGAGGCACCCTGTGTTCGTGCAGCATCGGATGGACCCAGGATGGATTTTCCCATGGTGCTGCACATATCCCATCCCCGGAGAGAAGTTCCTCCTTTTTGGCCCTTCAGGCTATTATATAGCCTCCTTTTTATTCTATCTTATTAAAGCAGCTATTTTATTAAGCCATTTGTTGACGGGCATTTCTTACTGAGATGCAGAAATAACCCTCTCTCCCACCTCAGCTTACCCCCCCAGTGCAGAACGTCTCCCCTGCACGTGCTGGAGCCCTTTCCCTTTCCAGCCCCCAGCACTGGTTTCAGCAGAACGAGGGCTGTGGCTGCTGTGCTGGCTGCAGACTATCCTACAGCTCTCTGGCAAAGCCGGTTTGCAATGATCCTGTTTTGGAAACCCTTTTCCTCTCTAACACAAACCGGGTACTCCACACACCGCAGTCTCTTACCTGCTCCATCCAAACCTTCCAGGATCAGAGCACTGTGTCTTCCCACCTGTACCACACAGTATTTGCAGAGCAGCTGTAAAACAATTAATTGAATATAATTATTGAGAGGATGTTCATGTTTCCTGCACACTTACCACTTTACCTCGATCATGGCAGGGCTGGTCTATAATTCTCTTTTTAATGAGCTCCCAAAATATTCCCATAAGCAATATCCTCAGTTGTAAACCATAAAAACAAACCAGCCCCTCTATCTAGAGACACTGTGAGAGGTTGAAACCACCCTAACGGTCCCTGGAGAGGGAGAAGAAGGACTTCTCGCTGTGCCGGGTGCATTTCTCGTTGGCTCCAGGCAATTCCTGCTCTCCCCACCAGCAGGATTTGGGGGAGCCATGGATTTGCTGTGGTTTTCTCCTCCTCCTGGCCTGATTCAGTCAACTGTTCTCCTTGTCCCATCCACTGCAGGGCTTGCACAGCCCCGGCTGGGACTTGCTGATCTAAAAGCATACAACCAGCAGACATCCTTGGAGCCCACGTCTGATCCACACACACCCGAGGTGCTGGGGGAGCTGCCAGGGCAGACAGCTGCCATCACCCCTCTAGGACTGGGGCACAAAAATGTCCCTTTCTCTTACACCAAGAGTCAGCCCAGCAAATGCCACCCTCTCGTACTCTGTCCCCCTCCAAGGAACTGGCTCATAAAACTGAAGCTATTTCCTTGCTGACACCATGCCAGAGTGGACCCTGCAGCCTCTTTTGCACTGTGGGAAACCAGAGTATCAAGAGACCCAGTACCTCTATAGAGTTTTTCCCATGGCATCTTGCAGGGAAAAGTAGAGATGTTGCCTCCAAGGTAAAGGTCTGGCTTATGGCCAGAGAGGTTTTAAACTAAACACCCCTTCAGCAAAATCCCAAGACACTGAGACAAGTTATGGACAACATCCTTGAGCTGTTAGTCTCCAGCTACACCATGGAGAGCAGGCATCCCAGGTTTTCAAGCCCTAGCCAGGTCTCAGCTGGACAGGAAGGAATCCCACCAGCTCCCAGGGCCACAACGATGCTCCAGAAAACATCCTGTCCTGGTTTTGTCTGGGATAGAGTTAATTTCCTTCCCAGTAGCTGGTACAGTGCTGTGGTTTGGATTTAGGATAACAATGTTGATAACGCACCGATGTCTTAGTTGTTGCTGAGCAGTGCTTACACTAG